CAGGCCCTGTTCTTTTAAATGTCAGTTACCAATACCCTACAATGCTGGGTCCCTGAAGAGAAACATGATATAAGTAGGTTTACCTTTAAAATGAAACATGAAGGCAATGCAAACGTAATGCTATGCATTCTAAATCTACAATTTTTTAAAAGGGGGAGGAGGGCATTTCCACTTTGAAAGAAAACGAATGCATGTCCACAACTTTCGCTCTGGGACTTTGAATGTCAGGCTGAATGTACATATAGAAAGTTACGGGGGTGGGTGGATGACTAATTATCTAAGTAAAACCAAGGATATCAATTTAGGGACGTTTAGTCTCATTATTGAATATTTGACTCTGCGTGAACAGCAGAGGCCTGGGCTGGGCTTACTGCTGTTACCAAGGAGGAGCTGGGAAAGTGTAAAGATGGCCTAAGACTTCAAAGATTACAGTCTTCCTCTAACAGTCAGCCATAAAGGTACCTGTGCAGCCGTTCACAGAATCCTAGCGTACATTAGTCAGTGCCACACTGTAGTGCTAGTGCACTTGTGTGTGTGTGTGTGTGTGTGTGTGTGTGTGTGTGTGTGTGTGTGTACATGATTCACTTCCAAAATGATGTAATAATAATGTTTAAGATAGGGGCCTTTCCTCCCACGTATAAGCTTCCACTCTCCCATGAACCGAGTTTAAAAATATAAGAAAGCACTAACTAAATAATAGTGATATTTCTAGTGCACGGCTATGGGAAAATAGAAATAGATTATTACCCTAAATTGGGCTATGTAGAGAAAATGACACTTTAGTTCATAACTTCTGTCCATTGCCTTATCTTATATTGTGCAAGTTTATCCTAAAAAGGAAACACTTTTGCTGAGAAGGGAGGGAAAGTTGGTTAGCTTAGTCAAATCGACTTCAGATCCAACACTACGTCTAAGAATCATAGAAGACAACTAAATATTTCCGGGAACACAAATATTAAACATAGTGTATTAATGTACTGATGCATGTGTCTGTGTGTTGTGTATGTATGGTACACACATATCATGGCACCTGTGTGGGGGTCAGAGGACAACTAGAAAAAGTTCATCCTCGCTTTCCACCTGGTGTGTCTCCAAGGTTCAACTCAGGCTGAGGGCTTGGGGACAAATACCTTTACCAGCCGAGTCTCCACCATGCCCCTGAAAACACAAATATTTTTAACTTACAAAGTAATATGCGATCCATTTCTAACTTCCCACTCTTTTCTTCCCCCATAATTACTTTCACACCAGACTTTTCATATTTTCCTGGGTACAGGAATTTCCCATGACACACAGCTCTCACATACAGCATGAGTGCCCTTTATTTTACTTAAGAATTGAGTAGTTACAAGGGGTCAGAAACTACAAGTTTATCAACCTGGCCAGGCCTGGCAGGATGTTCAGTGGATGAGGGTGGGAGAGAGAAAATGCCCACTGTTGGGTTTGGGGGAGCCTTCCAGAGGCCATGACACATCATCTGAGGGATGAACAGGGCCTTCAGAGCCTTTGTTCGAGACCCGCTCTTCCCAAAACCTCATCATGATGAGGGGCAATGCATGATGTCCCTTTACAAGTGTGTTTCCTGAAATTCTGCCTTATAGTGATTGCATTCATAATTACACTTCTTATACAAACAAGTTCCATCGAGTAACATCAGGCTATACTCTACTGAGCCTCACCATGTTAATTTACTACAGGGCTCCTTCCCCACAGATCCACCAGTCTACATTAAGGTTTGGTGGTCAGGAGACAGAGAAGTGTGGGGAAAGTAACTCTGCACGTGGTTCTTCACTGAAAGTGCACACTGTCTTCAATTGTGTTTGGAGAGCTCACTTAGACAGCAGTCAAGAGAAACCCTGTGACACCTGGCAAGCAGCTACAGGACAGCCATGCTGCATTTGTAAGTGGAAAATGACTTTAATGCAGATGAGTCACCAGGATTCCTGGAACTCCAGAACACAAGAGCACCAAGTTCGTGCTTCTAGATAGATACTGGCCATGTTGAAAAACACCCTGGAAATTTCTATGAAGTTATGCAGCCAGGCTCTCTTACCTTAATTACATGTGAGTCAGTAAACTCAATGAAAATGACAAGCTTATGGAAAATTGTTATTTAAAACATATGTTCACTCCATAAAAAGTTGAACTGAATGTAGTTTAAATTTCACAAAAACTAAAGTCTGAGGATATAAAGTGGCCAGACACAGGGCAAGCTTTTAGAATTAGCCCTGTATTTCATGACAGTTTCTCCAAGGAAGTCTGAAAGTAAGCATAACCAAAAAGATTTGGATTGGGAGAATTTAATTTCACCCAAAGCAACCTTCGATAGAGGCTGTCAAACTCAAAACTATACTAGTAGATACCCCTTCAAAGATATTGAGGTCATGTAAAATAACTTTGGTTAATTTATTTTTTTAAATAAAACTATAAGGCCTAAGTCTGTTTTTATTTGTTGTTTTTAAATTTGTGTCTTTTTCCAATCATGGTCTCAACAACTCTCTCTCTCGTGTCATTTACATTATATGCTGTCTACAGATGTCACCCACTACTTTAATCCTTTGTTTACGACCTTGGCTTCCCATCCTTTATTTCAAGGAAAGATCACTCCACTTTCCTAAATTATTTGACCAGAATGTCCCATGTCTGTGTGCTCACATTTAAGTAATTTCAATACATTTTAATGTATTTTCAATTACAACAGATTGTATAAAGCAGAAGGAAAATAAGTGTTCTCCATGTTGAAGAAACCATCATACTATATCCTACAATACATAGGTACTAATTATTTATTAAAAAGAAAATTTAAAAACCATGTGAGAGAAAACACATGTAAAACTGAAAATAGTTTTTCATGCTAGATTAATAGAAAAGGGTAACTATCTAAGATAGAAAGACTCTCAGCACCAGTAAACAAGTCAATAGCAAATGGGAAAAGGACCCTCTCTGAGTGGAGGAATGATGATTAACTAGTGCTTGGAGAGTTGTTTATCTTTACCCAAGAAGAAATGATTCTTAGATGCAGCATGTTATTTTCAAACCATCAAATTAGGAGGAACAAAACTTTGAAAAACATTCATAAAACCTATTTTGGGAAGAGTAGGAGAAATAGAAACTATCAAACACTGTTAATTAGTAGAATTTTAAACACAAGCATCTACTATTTTTATATATAACAATATGTTATTTGAAAAGTATATATAACACAGTTGGTTTCTAGGAATCTAATAACTCTTTTAACAAAGTCTTACTGAGACCCAATACTTTTATGAAAATAGAAGTATATATATATATGCAGATGCTTATTCCAACAGTAGCCATCACTGAGATATAATGGATGGAGGTTTCCCACAGGGCAGATCAATGATCTTATCTGGATACTTATGCACCATTGAGCTAAAAACCTTTGAGAATACATTGACCAGGGCATACTGAAAATGGAAAAGTCACCAAGAGTCTATAATAATTTTCTACTCACACAAATATTGGCAATATACATTTTAGAGGAAAGAACTTGTCAAATTCCATGTATCCTTTTCCTTATAGACATTATTGAAGAGAAACTGGTTATGACTTTGAAAAACTGTATACAAACAAAGTTCTAGAAAACCAGGCTATGCAGAAAATTTATCTTATTTCCTGAAAGAGCTGGCCTTTACAGAAGGCCTGGTTGCCTTTAATAGATAGAAGTTTCACAGAAATAAAAATTTCTCTTCGTCCTTCTCATTCAGTTCTAGAATGTAAGGAGTGAGGAATGAATATGCCTCCCACTCCTTTTATGTTTCATGACCTAGGGATTATGTAAAGGTAATGTATGCCTGGAAAATTATGTCTAAAGACATTCAAGGAAACAAATGACAAGAATATAAAAAAAAATTACACATTGTTTTTACACTGGGCTTTTCCAAATCGGGTATTTTTCAGCAAAGATGATTTTCTACACAGGAATTTAGCACCATTCAAGCAGATTTCTTAATCTTGTATCTTATGCACATAAAATCTTGACTTATCAATTTCATTTCATCTGGAACATATTCTGGGTTGCCATTAGTATCTTTCACTAGAGTAGCCACAATTTGATCTGAGAATGGATACTAATAATGGTGCTTGAAGCTTATATTCTTTGGAGAGAAGCCAGCAGTAGATCGACTTTCAATGGCCTTGGTATTAAAGAAAGAGGGACTAAATACTACAAAGTCAGTTGGCTGGAGAAACATCCAAACAAGAATATGGCTGTAGGCTCTGCCATTAATGTTCCATAAAAATGCTATAAATAATTTAAGACAGATAAAAAGTCAATTTTGTAGTGCTTAATTGACACTTTTTTGAAGGAAATTTGTTCCATGCCCATATACCATTTCTGCCTGGATTGGAAGCTTAATATTTCCACTTCCATGCTACCTATTAGAAAAGGTCGAATGGTTGGTGATAATATAGAATGTTAAAGAAAACATTTCCACAAAAGATTCAAATCAAGAACTAGAAGAGGTAGCCAGGTTCGTTTTCAGGCCCCAGGTTTAGTCCCTATGGTCTCAAGCCAAAGCAGGAGTGGAGAGATTGTGTCCTCACTTTGCATGGTTCTGTGGTGTCTGAGATAAGAACACATTTCCAATGTGCAGGAGTTTCAGTTGACAGAGTACCACACAACTTCTCTTTTCATTTCATAGACAAGATGCCTGTGTTAGGAAATCAAGCATTTAGGGGGCAAACTGTGACCTTAGAGATGAACTGTAATTACTTTAATGACTGTATCGATCTTTGTCACTTTAAGGATTATGGAAATTCAAACAACGACAGTACAAAATGACCAACAACAGTTATACCTCAGGGCTCTGCATTCAGTGGACTGAACTCTCCTCTAAACTATAACCATTAACCATGAACGCAATGATGGACTATTACAAGGTGGGGTTGGAGACCAGGTTAAGCCATATTCTTTTTTTTTTAAATTTAATTTAATTTAATTTTTCTTTATTCTTAATGCCAGGTATCTTAGTACCTACCTCAAAGCCTGGGCTCACAGGAGACTGAAACATGAAGTGGAAAGAGCGAAGAGCAGAGAGAAGGGGAGAATAAAGGGAGAAAAAAAGACAGAAAAACAAAGTTACTAGAGAAAAGCAATGCACATTAGTCAATGATGTTTAACATAGGCACATGTGTTGTCAGACAAAAGCAAAATGCTACCTTAGTCAGCTTTGTGGCCACACCAAAGTTCAAACTGGAAAATGCTTTTAAAATTTACATGGATCAGAAGCCACTAAGTCACAGATGCAAAACATTCTGAGATTATGAGTAGTGCTTTAAAATTAAAAAAAAAAAAACAAAAACCAAAAACCAAACTATGGTCTTAGAGATGAGGCTCTTGTATCTTGTTGAAAACAAATTAGAGTCAAAATGAAGTATTTTTGACCTTTAAGTAAAAGATTAGGTTTTCTTCACCATAATTCTTGCTCTTAATGTGAAATGGAGAAAAAGGTCATCAGAGTAATCACACATTCATAGCTGTCATTTGCCTGCAGGTGAGAGTAAGCTACAGCATAGTCACTGTCTGTTTGGGGATGACAAACACTGGAATGGAATGTCCGAATGTAAGAGATTTAGGAAGACAAATGCAGGGCCTAGAGAGATGGCTGGGTGGTTCAGAGCAATGACTACTCTTCCAGATCACGTGGGTCCTATTCCCAGCACCCACATAGGGGTTCACAACTGTATGTAAAATCAGCTTTAAGGGAGCCAATGCCTGTTTCTGACATCTGCTGATACTGGGTGTGCAAATGGTTCACGGGCATACATTTAAGCAAAACACCCATACACATAAAAAAAATTTAAATTATTTTAAAAAGAAGGCAAATATGTCTGGAGTGCATCTTTTTGCTCACTCTGTTGATTTCTGATCTCACACTAAGCTAAAATATCATTTTAAAGTAAAATATATACTTAAGTTTTGAAAGAAATGTTTCAATGTAAAATAAATTGAATAGACTTTTCATCTTTCATTTTTAAAACAAAGGGAAATACATAGGCAGTTGTTCTACTTGATAACTAGAAATCCAAACAAACCTGAACTCTGGCTGAAACATTAAAAACTGTAGTACTATACTCTGATGGTAGTGATTTTCTTCCTACTTGTTAAATCAATTACTGTACATTCAGAAAAATCTTATTACTTGTTTTTGAAAACTCTGTATCTTGATATGTAATATGCTGCCATTGATTCAGGGGCATTGGGAGCTGTGTACAATTAGAGTGAGGTTTTACCAAAATAACTTGGCATCCAGTACTATCTGCAGATTGTGAGTTGATGAGAAATACAAGGGGAATTCAGAGGCAACAACTTCTCATTTGAACATAAGATTCAAATATGACTTTTGTGGGAAAAAAATCATGATCTTGTGTGTAGGCCCTATTATAGAACAGACATAAAAAAAGTTTTTCAATTTCCAAAACAAGACAATACCCTAGTCATCTATGAAGTGGCATCTAAGACTCACAATTGTCCTTTAACTATTGGTCCTGGGGATCTTTCAGTCTGGTCTTTCATCAGAATTAATCTTTCAGATTATGGTGTGTAAAGATGGACTAGGCAATATGTATTAACTCAATAATTTATAATTTCCCAAAGATTGCTTTTCTCATAATATATTCATGAGTTTTATGGGGGGGAGGTAATTCTATATTGATTTAGTTTGACAACACTGAGTTCATTATTGCAAGATTCATTTGGCCCTTGATTATGCTTAGTAGCTCTTACAACTTCCACTACAGAGATACACCAAGAAGTATTTAACAATTTATCTGATCAAGATTGTTTTATTTGTAAATTTTTGGCATGTGCTTGTGTGTGATGTGTATACATACATGTTCATATGTATTTGGCATCTCTCTCTCTCTCTCTCTCTCTCTCTCTCTCTCTCTCTCTCTCTGCATGTGTGTGTAAATGTACATGTACATGTGAATGCATACACGTAGTGGCCAGATATTGAATTTGGGTGTCTTCCTTGATTATTCTCCACTTATATTTGAGGCATGTTCTCTCACTCGGGCTCATAGCTTGGATAGCCTGTGTCTGCCTCCTGAGCAATGGGATTACAAGTGGGCGATTATGCCCATCTAACTTTTATGTGGGTACTGGGAATCTTAATTCTGTCTCTCACACATGTGATGTTAAGTGCTTTATCCACTGAGCTATCTGTCCAGTCCTGTTCTCAGAAACTCTGTTAAATAATTGTTTTATAGGAAAACACCAGAAAATATATAGGCAACACCGTCTTTTTATCTTGTTGACTTAGAATTAACAAAAGTCCCTATAGATCACCAAGAAAGAGACCCACAATTACAGTGCACATCCCATATATATTCACTGTGGTGTAACAGCTTTTCTTTTGCTTTGGCTTGAATTGAAGAAAGATCATCTGAATAACAGTTTTGTGTCTTTGGCAAAAGCTACTATATTGAATAGATATGGAGCGGGTGGACAGCCTTGCCTTGTTTCTGATTTTAGTGGAATTGCTTTGAGTTTCTCTCCATTTAATTTGATATTGGCTATAGGCTTGCTGTAAACTGTCTTTATTTTTATGTTTAGGTATGTCCCTTGTATCCATGATCTCTCCAAGACTTTTATCATGAAGACTTAATGGATTTTGTTAAAGGCTTTTTCAGCTTCTAATGAGATGATTGTGTGTGTGTGTGCTTTCTTTCTTTCAGTTTGTTTACATGGTGAATTACATTCACTATTTTCATATGTTGAACTATTCCCTGCATCTTTGGGATGAAGCCTATTTAATCATAGTGGATGATCTTTCTAATGTGTTCTTGGATTCGGTTAGTGAGTATTTTATTGAGTATATTTGCATCAATGTTCATGAGGGAAATTAGTCTGTAATTCCCTTTCTTTGCTCATTCTTTGTGTGGTTTGGGTATCAGGGTATCTATGGCCTCACAAAGTGAAGTTGATAATGCTCCTTCTGTTTCTATTTGGTGGATAGAATTTGAGGAGTATTAGCATTATCTCTTCTTTGAAAGTCTGGTAGAATTCTGCACTGAAACCATCTGGCCCTGGGCATTTTTTGGTTGGGAGATGTTTAATGATTGCTTCTAGGGTTTATAGATATGTTTAAATTGTTTATCTGATCTTGATTTAACTTTCGGTAAGTGAGACCCTTTTCCTCCTACTGGGTTGCCTCATCCAGCCTTGATATAAGGGCTTGTGCCTAGTCTTATTGTATCTTGTTAGGCCATATTCAGTGGATATCTCTGGGAGGCCTGCTTTTTTTCTGAAGGGAAATGGACAAGGAGTGTTTCTGGAGCATAGATGAGTTGGGGGAGCAGGAAGGAGAGGATGGAGGGAAAACTGAGGTAAAGATGGAATGTAAGAGAGAGGAAAATTTTTTTTAAAAAGGCTACTACAGAAAACAATGCCGATCACATAAATAAATGCCATCAATCTCAGCATGCCATGGCACATTAGTTTCAATATTTTATCTCAACAGTACATTTCTTGTTGATAAATAATGGCAGTTTTCTAACCCTATTTCTAAACATATTTTAATTGAATAAAAAAAATCTCAGAATTTAATCCATAATAAATCTAATATAACATTTAATCCTTTCCTCACAATGACTTGTGATAAAAGTCTCCAATGACTGTCTATTTGGAAAGTACACTTTTAGACCAGTAGCTCTCAACTTGTGAGTCATGACCCCCATGTCAGATATCCTGCCCATCAAATGTTTACACTGTGATTCATAACAGTAGCAAATTACAGTTATGAAGTAGCAATGAAAACAATTTTATGGTTGGGGATCACCACAACAGGAGGAACTATATTAAAGGGTCACAGTATTAGGAAGGTTAAGAGCCTCCCTAATGTTTTATATAATTTTAAAGTTGTAATTTATAAGAAGAGTATAGGGGCTGGAGAGATGGCTCAAAGGTTAAGAGCACCGACTGGTCTTCCAGAGGTCCTGAGTTCAATTCCCAGCAACCACATGGTGGCTCACAACCACCTGTAATGAGATCTGGCGCCCTCCTCTGTATACATAATAAATAAATAAATCTTTAAAAAAAAAGAGTATAAAGTTTTAGGTTATAAATCTTGACAAAATTTTGTATATATACATGGAACTTCTTTCCAGATAAGATACAGAATTCTGTAGCCTCCTTGATAGTTCACTTTTGCTCCCTCCCAACTAGCATCCCACTGAGAGGAAGCATTATTCTCCTGTTCTTCAACATAAATTAGATTTGCCTCAATTGCAATTCAAATCCTGAATCCATAAGTATAGACTCCTTTGTATCTGACTTTTTGTTGAGATAGGCATCTCATTATGCTATGTATAGACTCTTTTGTATCTGACTTCTTGTTGAGATAGGCATCTCATTATGCTATGCGATCCAGACTTGATCACAAAAAATCTTACCTTTCATGATTGCATTTTTCCTGAACATCCTGATCTGGAACTACAGGCATGAACTACCATGCCCAGCTTGATTTCTTTATTTAAATATTGCTTTGTGAAAATCTACTGTGTTGCTGAGTGAACAGTAATCCTTTAATCACATTGTATATAGATATATAGACATGAGCTATGGAGTTAGTGTTGCGAAGTTAGTGTTGCTTTTGTGTACATGTTTTCAGAGCTGGAAGCTGCACTCATGAAATGTCAAAAATCCATTTGCTTAAACAAGACCGACATCATAACAATGGCAGAGGACTTGCCAACATGGATGCAGACAGCTCACATGTGCTTCTGAGAGGAGAATCAGTTTTCTCGGGGGACAAATTCCCTGATGAATTACTCAGTTCCAAGTGAAATGTGTTCTCAATTTGAATGATGCCTAGTTTCTTGATTTACTTCCTTTTCCTTAGTGATTTAAGTTTTCTCTACCAAAAAAAAAAAATCCTGTTTCAAGTATTTTCATTTATTCACCTTTATTATTTCCAAGAAAATCACAGTTTACTGAGAATTGATTTGTATATAGTTTGAAGCAGGGTTAACATATTTTCCAGGTTGGACATGATGGAACACACCCTTATCTCCAGCACTTGGGAAGCAGAAGCAGTAGGATCCCTGTAATTTCCAGACCAGTCTTGTCTATCTGGTTCATTCACAGATAGCCAGGGTGACACAGTGGACACAGTGACAGCCTGTCTCAAATAATAATAATAATAAATTCTATTTTCCATACAGATATCCAATGAATTCCACAAACATTTACTGAGAAGTCTATGCTTAGTCATATTTGAATTCTATATATAAATCAATAAGCCAATCTGTGTGCACAGTTTCTGGTTCTATTTATAATTTTCTGTCTGTATGATACCATATTATCTTATTTTTTATATTTATACACTGTGTAATGTAACATTATATTCAATGCACTTTCATGTATGGCAATTCACCAGTTTTATTTTATATCAAGAATTCTCAATATTAACACCATTGTCATTTTGGGCTAGAAAGCTCATATTGGAAAAAGCCCACATACTGAGTTCTCTGTGACTGGAACTTCAAGTCCTAAGTGCCTTGGTAGCTCATAGATACCTTCAAATACTGGTTTTCTCCATTTCTGTCTGATTTGAGTTTACAATTGTTCCTTCTGGGAAAATTGATTTCATACAAGCTTTTTCTTCATACTTAAAGACAAAAGGAAGGGTTGTGATTTGTTGTCTAAGGTTAGGCCTCATGTAGCTTATTTTCAACTGAACCTTAACTCATATAAATAAAAAGATAAGAAAAATGTAGAGAACTATAATCTGTATAATTATACTTATCTTAACAGACAGGTAAGCATAAGTAGTATATCCTACTTAAGGATCTACTCATTTTACTTTTCTTTGTTTCTAATAATACCATTAATGGTTTACAAAATAATATGCATCCATGTCCAGTTAGTTGCTCTATCGTCTGCTTATTACACCGGGCTGTCTTCGAGGATGGGTGCTTTAGGGAGAGCATAATGGATGTGGTTTGGTGCCAACACAGATGACACATACAACCTGAAATACAACATATGCTGTTTTGTCCTTTCTATGTTAGTGGGACTAAGTCTGAGATTCAATTTATTTGCCTAAATTGGACAAATTAGTAGAATAACAATTTCTTACCCTGTGTGTAAACTAGCAATCCTATAGTCATAATAGGCAATTCTAACACAGAATATTTGTTTTATTTTACAAAAAGTTTGCATGTGTCATCACAGACTTACAAAGCAGACATTCTAGAGGCATTAATGAGCAAAACCATCTTTGCCCAAGACATCATCCTTCTCTGAACGAGGTTCTTCTTTATTATGTACAGTATCAAAATGTTTTACTATTATTGCCCATGATATTGCCTCTTGTTAGAATTCCCTATGGCTGAAAAGACACATATTGGCCATAGTCCAAGTGTGTCTGGCTAGAGCAAGCAGAGTTGGCTCCTACCTGCACTAGCTGAGATGAAACAAAGTCAACAGAGAGATGCATGTCACATCAAAGGGAGACTAATGTTTCTTAACTTCTAAGAAACTCGATAAAAGAGACTCAGACATTTCCTTGAGTATTCTGGATTCCAAGGCATATGAAACATGATCCTAAGAGACAACATATTGAGTATGTCACCAACATTGTTTATAAATGCATTTCTATTTCAAGTTTACCTGGGGGAGAGTTTATACAAGGCTATAGAAGCTTATGTTCCCAATGTCATTCAGTGTTTCGTGGCCCTAAGGTTTTCTTTTATAATTACTATTTAAATTTTTTTATTTTTGAGGCCCTGATGGATTCAGAAATCACTAGTATCTTATGTGGTATTCTTTAAGGAAATGCTAAAGGCTGCTTTGAAAAAAAATGAATTTTAGAGCATTCTACTACAAGAAATTTCCATTCATCAATGAAACACTAATGAATTTTTTCATTATGTAAAATATATCAAGCTATTCAAATAATTAAATAATTATTTCAGTTGCTTAAATACACCAATTAATAATTTTGTTAAAAAGCACAAATATATGTAATAAAGGTTATACTTATATAACCAAAATCATGGTGACATTTAAACTAAATATTTTATTTATGTGTAGATTTGATTGTATACATTTGTATATGGCTATATGCATATATACATACACATATCTATATGATAATATATATTAAATATCTAAAACCAAGTTTGTACAAGTACATGGTCAAAATAAATATCATCTAATCTAAACTATCTAGATTCTAATCTACTGTATGATAAATAGTTTAAGCTTTGGATTTCTTGTGTAAAAATAATTCTTAAAATGCTTTTTGTGGTAAATTCTAACATGATATAATTTATTTATGATTTTACTTTTATACAATTCCAATGTCCTTATTCCAAACATGCCTTGCAATGACTACAGTTACTCCTATTACAACTGCTGCAACTTATAAAATCACTGTTTTGAAAATTTCGAACTCAACCAGAGGACTTCAAAGCAGGGTAGGCAATGGCAATTATTTTAAAATAGAATTTTTGAGTAAGTACATTTTTGTAAAAATACCATTTATTCTAATTAATGCACAGTCACGGAATTACACAGAGTCACAAATATACCTTCTGAATAATAGGAAGTTATCATATTCATCTAATTACTACGAAGATGTAGTACCTATCTTCCCCCAATAGTTTCAGTTAAAGAATAATGAAAAAAGGCAAGGCCACCAAAACAGCAATGTAGGCACAGGCTATAGGCTTCCTATTTGTAAAAATGAGTGACCATCTGACATGTGGCTTATTCTGCAACAAAATTTAAGTCATTTAAAGTCACAATCAAATACTCTCCATGTAACATCAATTAGAAATTGTCATAGATACCTCCCTGTTTCCACTCAAATTCAAGGTGGATTTACTTGACCTAATTGTCTTAGTAATGCTTGCAATTTTGTTTTTCATCAATTTCTGTAATAACTATGCTATACCGGATCAATGTAATGGTGAGATAAAGTAGACAAGGGAAAGGTGGAGCCTGAAGCCATTCGTTATTTCAGAACCCCATTCTTGTTGTAAGTAACTCACACAACCATCACCCTATTCTTTCACTAATGTTTCGAAGACAGAAGTTAATTTCCTTAACAAATGCTTTCACAGTGACCATCAGCTGTTTCACAGGCACTAGAAATATTTTAGCTAAGTGCTACTGTGCTCACGGTGCTTATCAGTAATGCCAAACAGTAAGACTTTGGTGTTTTCATAAAGGCAAATTTCAGATTCTAGCTCTGCAGAAATATTCAGGATGCTATAAGGCCTTAGAAATCTGCAGAGGAGACTATCGTTTGCAACATTATCACATGAATTCACACTGCTCAGGCCTTATGACCATATGGAGCTTCACATATTTTTCAGTTTTATGAAGCTCAGGGAAGAAAGCAAACTCAAAGCTGTTTGAGATTTGATGATACAACGACCAACCTATAACAGAGACCTGTGGAAACAAAGTCATTAACACGGAGGCTGTGTCTCCCTCTCAGCATGTTCTCCTGGTTTGACACTGATATCAACATCCCCCAGATTTCTCAAGCAAATGGGTAATAGACAGATAGGAGGCCATACCAGTAGAGGCTCATCAGGGGCACTGGTGGAGAACTCAGCAGATGATGTGCGGATAGTACTGAGCCCTGTGAGGGAAACATTGGAGAGTCTTCTCCTCCTCACACCACTGCAATTGTTGGGGATTTTAAATGCACATCTCTTATGGTAATTCAGACCACATCCTGAAAAACAAACATAAAAATAGCTCTTATTTAACCAGAAATTAAATCTACTCCATCATTACTTATAAATTAAGAATTTGAAAACATAGCACAACATCCATTTATCTTGATGCTACTCGGAAATACAAATTTTCTTTTATGTTTGCTCTGATTCCTTTTGCTCCTTATTTGAATGTGGGCTTCAGAATATTTTGTTGTAAATGCTCAACGACTCCCATAGCTGTTGTTTTTAAATTCTTATTCGTGCATTTTTTGATGTTCTACCTAAAATAAATTTGGGTTTAGAAAAGACTACAAATATATTTTAAAAATTTTATACCATTTTAGCTGCTATAATTTTAAATGTGTGTGGGCACATAGAGGGGAAATTAATCATGGTATGTCACAAGTTTGGGTGACACTGATCTGAAGCTTGTCAATGTCACTTACTTGTAAACATGACCCTGAACAAATAATTTTATCTCAATTTCCCAGTCTGTAAAGTAGAGATAAAAATAACTACTCCACAGAACTAAAGTGATATATAAAGTACATCACTTATTGGTTTCCAGATAGCAGGTGGTTGGAAGCATATTTCCCACTTTGGGAAGTTTTATTTTCTCCTAATATTTATACTCTGCACATTCCTCACATAACTGGCACCTGCTACTTAGAATTCCCTTGACTGTCACAAAATAGGTCAGACAACTTTTCATAAAACATACGTTACGATTCAGTTGCCAAGATACATAGAGCTTGATGAAGCTGTTGTCCAAGAAGTCCTAGGTATAGCTCCCCCTGAGAGTAAAATGAGGTATGTTCACTTGCTTCTTGTTTTGTGGGTACACAGAGTGAAAGATTTATAGGGTCATGGGAGTTTCTAATGGCATTTGAAAGAAATACCTGGGAGACTAAGTAGTATAGCAGTTAAAAGTGCTTGTAGGCTTGAAAGAACAATGCATGGCCATAATAAAGAGATGATAAAGATACAGTGGAGATCCCAGGAATTTGGAGATGCCATGAAAATGGGGTGTTTTCTGAGGAAAGATAGTCATTATGCAGAGCCAGCCTAAGAGAGGTCACCTGAGCTACAAGTAGCAAAGCCATTAGAGCAGGGCTGTCTAAGCTATTTAGAGATCACGCTATACAACTATGTAGCATAGATGCTGAGCATGAAGCTACAAGATTTAATATTTGCTCTTCTATGTTTGGGTCTTGTTTAGTGTGATGATCCATCTTTCATATTACACAACATCTTTTTGAATTTGAATGCTTACCCTGTTTCATTATAGGTTGGAGTATGTAACAATTTGTCTATAATGTCAACGTATCACCTGTCATAAGGTGAGTGACATCGTTTAGCTACACAGTCCTTGCCCTCATGTTCTGCTTCATTATAGACCAAGATACAATGGAACAAAGTGACCATGGACTTGAACCTCTGATGCCATGAGCCCAAACAATCTTTCCTTTTTTAAGAGAAATTCTCTCAAGTGTTTTGTCAGAGTGAAAGAAATATAGCCAAATCGACACACCTTAGGCATAGCTTCTTCTAGATTGTCATCTTTGAACTTCCACTCCACTGGTGAGAGTTCAACAACTCAAGATACAGGTTATCTGTATATTTATTTATTACAGATAAATATAGGTTGTATTCTCAAAGGGTGATCATTGTGGCCACTCTTCAAAGCAATCCATCGACCCCAGTAGAGAACACAGGGAGGGCTGCATGAGACCTCAGGACTAGATGGCACTGTTCTTGCACACTGAATCGTCCAGTTCAAGCAGTTCTCTCTGGGGGAATGCTCACCCCACAGTCTGGTGTGAAAACACACATGGAAGTCCCATTTTTCACATTCAGCACTGGAGTGACCTTGGGCCCTTTGAGCAAACATCTCAATCTCTGCTCCTTTCAACGTGTATTGTTTCAATTTCTGTCTTAAATAAGATGGGAATCTCAGTTTTAATCTCTGGCTGAATTATCCCTTGCATTACAGTGGGGAACACTTCCGCGTGAGGAAAGAAGCGAGAGTTCAGTGTGTAGACGCAGGAAGGAAGAGCAAAGACAGGAAACTTAGAAACTGAACAAAATGCCCCATAAACAGCGGCACAGTCGCGAAGAGGACTGGAGGATATGTAGGAGAGAGAACAGCGCCATGCAGGGCACACAGAAGCATCAGGTCCAGCATGTGTCAAGTCTGGAGGGGCAGAAAACAACTCACCTTCACACTTAAGGCCTTGGCGTACCAGCCCCCACAGCATTTCTCCACAGTGATCACAGAAAGCGGGGGCTCTGTATGAATGAACGAAGAGAGCATGGGGCCGGATCTGGAAGTCTTCCAAGGTGGCCGAAGCTGCAGAAACAGCATGTTGAAAAAGATTTAGTGAACATATACTGATCTGCAAAAAAAGCATGTCTGGTAATAGGTGAGTGAGCAGGGAGGCAATTCTGTAAACAAGTTCTGGAAAACCAGCCAAGTGTCGCAGTACATGTCTGGTATCAGAAGAGGGAGGTGAAAGCAAGAGGATGTAAGTCCCACCTTGGGTATAGAGTCTGATCAGGGCTAGCTCAGGCTACATGACACATCATCTTAACACCTTACAAGTCATACGGACAATGGGATGCAGCATGGCTTGTACTTTCATTCATTAGGTTTTCCTCAGAATTACAATGTTATGTCTGGTGCCATAGCAGTCCCTCTTCTTCTCCATTCCTTCACAGCAATGTTTCACATCATTTCAATAACAATAAAATACTAGAAGAACAGGTGATTGACACGAGAAGCCATCTACTTCATGGATACCTGATATTAGTTGAAAATATTTTGCTTTTCACCCCTAGTCAGGAGCTGTTGACTGTTGGTGACTCCTAGGAAAGGGAGAGTCAGTTTCCTCTAAGAGAGTGTGGTCCCTGGGAGGGTGACCATGCTCCAGAGCCTGGATCATACCCATGAATTATGAGGAGAACAACCTGAACTCAGAGGACGTGAGACTGGGAAGGGATGTGGGGTAAGGGTGAATCTGGGAGGAACATTGTATGCATGTACAAAATTCTCAAAGAATTCATAAAAGTATCATAGTTAAAAAAAATTTCTTTTCCCCTAAGGTATGCAAACACATTAATCAAATGAAGAGGTATCAGGCTGAATTTAGACAGATGTGCAAACTGAGTTTTCAGATGAAGAGGAACACTATGAAAAGCGACATTAAAGCCATTCGGGTGCCATTTGGAGTGGAAAAGTCTGACCATTACCCTCTTGGAGTGACAGAGATGTATTAACAGATGAAAAATGAAACCAAACATTCAAAGGACAACCTCTAAATAACCCTGAAGCTTCCTCAACAACCTATCAAGTGGAGAGATTAATGCACATGGACCAGCCATGGTCCATTCAGAGAAAGGCACCAATATACTATGTTCATGATGGAGTGCAACTTCTGTTATTTCTAATTATTGCCCATTCGATGAAATACTTATAAAAATATGATACACATGATTCCAATTATACTTTTCTACATACTTCTTTTATAATGTAAAAGTGGCCCACATTTATGTTGTTGCTCAAATTAAGAAGGAAAAAGGGAAAGAGTGGACAGAGGTGCATCTCAGGCTTCTCTGCACAAGTGAGCTCATGCTCGGTGTTCATTCTGAAGGCAGACAGTGCTCTCCTGGCAGTCCAGACGTGCTGCAAGCACCACAGACATGATCTACATGACATCACACATAATCACACAAACCTCAGTTCCTCCCTCCTGAAAGGGAAAGGCTTGCCTGAGGATAGTGTCCTCTAATCCCCTAAGACCTCAACCTCCACTAACACCAGGACACATCTCTGGACACTTGATCGCTCAGGTTTTAGTCCTGGTGAATTTTGGAGAAAATATGCTGCAAATCAAGGGATATGTAGATTAACAATATTATTGACAATGCTTTCACTAAATCAATCAGTAAAAATGTGTGGTTATGATTTGCGTACCAATCATACACTCTGGTGATTGGGTTAAAATGTATCTAATCTGGAGAATACTAAAACCTCCTTAAAATTGATCTCTGATACTCATAAGCAATTTCCCCCAAACCATTAAAGAAAACACTTGAATACACTGTGCCAATCTTTCATTCCTAGTCCCCTTCATCCTCGAATTCACCCTCCCCAGGACCAAACAACTCTGACAATACTATGACAGTAATTAGTTGAATAATTATTGTAGTTTTCAAAATAAGAAACACTAGAATTTGACAATACAAATAGCAAGCTGCGTTGAGACATTTTAGGAATTAATCAGGAAGAATATAAATAATTAAACTAAAGATTTTCAATGACACCTCCCCCTCTAATTTATGTCAGGTAGTTTTCTTTTTTCCTTCTGGTTTTTGAAGGGGATTAACATTCATAAGCAGTTAGCACCCTTGACTTATGTTTAAATGCCACATTACTAAAGTTCAATTTTAATATTCTCCTGTTAATTTTAGAATAATTAAATACATTTTTAAAATAAAACGACTAAGCGTGGTGAGGTTTTGCATCCATTTGAAATCAAAGCACAACATCCATTCATTATGAATTTACCTGTGCTGCACCCTGGGGGAAATCAGCATTAGCTGAGTATATGCATGCCGGCTCGTCTAATCACAAAATCGCACTTCAGAGATAATCACTTAGCGCAGGCAAACAAAGTGAAGGCTGCAATTCCATTTCATTTAAGTTTTGGAATCAGAATGGACAGATAAGAATAGGAATATTAACATGTCTAGAGATTCCAGGAAAGGAACAATGAGCCTGTCATAATCAATCAGCCGACCTAAATTAAAACGATATGACAGGGAGACAAACTGAACACAATGGGCCCTCATACTGGTATTTGTGTCTCTTTGATTTGCTCTATTCACGGTCTATTGTTACACTCCAGCATGCAAGAGAGGAGAAAATGACATGCTTTCCTTAGTCACTGAGCATTTGAAACAGGTAATTGAGCCAAAAATCTTAATATAATCAGTAGTTCTTTACAGGTTCATTATAAATTGTTGGACAAAATGGACTAAACTGGTTAGCAGTACAGAAGAAATGAGGCTTCTGAAGCAAAATAAATCGTCTCTGGAGGTCAAAACTATTTGCATAATAAAGTAAAACAATGTCAGATCTTCCAGGATTTTTAGTTAATTTTTTTAACGGCTATTTTGGCAGTTTGGGAGCAGCATTAACTCTTTGCAGCTGTGACAGGTTGGGACTGATAGACTAGAAAGATGTGATTAACATGCTTTAAACACAATTTCATTTAATTCTAAGAGGTGGATACTATTACTTCACTATACAGGTGAGAAAACTGAACAAAAATTAAAGTACCACACTCAGTAATGTAGAATGTGGACTCAACCAGTCTTGACACCAGAATTGTACAGATTCTCTCAGTTACCACAATGTATCATTTCTTTGAAAAACGACAAGAGAAATTTATTTTTGTCATTGAGAACGATTAAAAAAAAAACCAACAACACACACACACACAAAAAAAAAAACAGTGCCATTTTGTGTAGTGGAACAGGGTATTCCAAGCAACACGGAGGTAGGCTAGTCTACTCAAAGCATTCAGGTCAGCTTGGGCTATATATATAGAAAATGCTGTTTCCAAACACCCAAAGAAAAGCTGGCCACTGCAACCCAATGTGACACGTGACCTTCTATAAGGATGCATTCTTATTTCAGAGACATTAAAAATGTTGAAGGAATTAAAAGATTCCATGAAGTCAACTATAGAAAGCTTTTCAGTTCATTATCAGTCTTTTAAAAACACATTGTGCATAAACTCCCCGATTTCAAATCCATATCATCTGATTAGTTTGGAGTTACAAGCAATAATTGTTTTTGAAAACAACAGTAAGTCATAGTTTAAAATGAGCTGTGGCTTGTGCTACATGGTAATCAATATCATCCCAAGAATCCTCGGGTCTAACACAAGGAAAGATGCTTTGAAGGTTTTCCTAACTCTGAAGATATCTTTCTTCCTTAGTATCTAGATATTAAAAGGAGCCTCTGAATGCCAGGACCCCATACACATTCACACTGTTGCTGTCTCAGTCTTCCCGCTCTCAAAAATAACCATAACAAACACACAAAAATCATCTTCTGCTAATGGAAAGCTTTCTAGGTGGGATGACCCCACTCTGCAACATGCTATAACATTTGTAAAGACTCAGCTCATCAGAAACCATCAAATCATTATCCAGATTTTCATCGGGAGCTTCCAATACTCCTTTGTAACCACTACTCACTGTTCAGATTTAATAACAAGCCTGAAAAGTAGGGGTTTCATGCCTTTCTCAAGTTACTCCCCACAGGTCCTAGTAACCTGAAGTGTAGAGTTGGTTTATATCATCTTTTAGTAATCTATCCAAAAGTCTACTGGGTAGAAAACTGACTGAAGTAGGGTATCTGTGAATGTGAGATACAAGTCATGTTGAAAACGCCAGCCCCATACACAATCAGAAAATGCATCAAGGTCAGTAGAGAAAGCAGCTATGGGTGCCTGAGTCTGTCTCTGAAGGCTTCATTGAGCAGGAATCCTACACAACTCTGAAGGATGGGTACTTTAAAAGGCAGAGAATAGATATGAAAGGGGCAAACGATTTATAGTCTGATTTCATTTAATTACATATATTAATAAGATTATCTTTTTTGTATAATTGCTGTGGCTTCTTCACACTTGTCTGGTACACCATGAGGATGGTTAGTTAGCTAGTTATGTGACTCCCAACTGCCTAGGAGACACCTAGATGATGCCAACAGAGAGTTCCCATATCCAAAGTGCTGAGGCCCTGGTGTGCCTCAGTGATGGTAAGATGACATCTGGGCCTGTTTACATTTTGCTCCCTCCTACCAATCCACACAAATCTGTACTCAGGGACTGGTTAAACTTCTTTCTTTTCCATGCCACTTCTGTAAAAATTCTCCCATCATGCCACATTGGGGAAATCAACCCCACCTTTCCCATTTAATTAAACCTGGACAAAGTAAGCTTTAGGAAGGGTTCATAACCCTGCAACAGCAATATCATTCAATGATTTATTATTCAGCCCCTGCAAAAATACCTTCACATAGTCAAGAAAATGAAAAAAGAAATTTCTACTTGTAGACTTAACATCTGATATGGAAAACATGAGTGAGGTGTAATGACGAGAACCTAGCGGGCCATGAATATACCATGCCAGAAATCATAGCAACCATGACAACAGAACACATAGTTAAAGCTACTGATTAGGCAGCTGAGAATGACTCAGTAAGAAACAATGGAAAGCAAAGCAGAGTATATTACATACATGTATTAAATGTTATTTTGAATAACAAACACACTAATA